CGGCGGGGAGCGGGGCTGGCCAGGAGGCAGAGCAGGAGGAGAATCAGCTGGCAGGGAGTGAGACTGACCCAGGTGTACGCAGATACCAGGGTGCTGCCCATCCTGCGCACGGACTCGGCGAAGCACAAGCGAGTCTGGCCCCGGGGATTCCTTTCCGGCCCCTCCCTCGCGTAGTTTCGTACTGCCTGGCTGTGTGAGCATGTCTACCAGCCAGGCAGTATGCAACTACGTACTGATACTCCTAATAATAATAAACTTACCTAATTAGAAAATACCAGACATTTTATGTGTCCGGTATTTTCTCAATTTGTTTCCTGGACAGAACCCTCAAATACCGGACTGTCCAGTTCAAAACTGCACACCTGGCAACCCTACCAATTCCAGAAACTACTGGATGGAGAGTGGTAAATCTTCCTAGCAACAATGACTTAGACACAACTCACTCCTCTCCCCCCTGCTTTAGGTGTCTTAAAGAGATATCTCTCTACTAGGAATATGGGTTGCATATGTATTGCTGAAATGTGGCTGAATGATACTACTGAGTCTCTTTCAGTTGTCTCCAGCTGAGTATTTGGTACACCGGGAATCTGGAGTGGGATTTTGTTCTTCTTTGCCTAAGAACAAGCGTCTGGGTTGTTTTTTGTTTTTTAATTAATTTTTTGGTTTCTATTTTACTGTATGGCAGAGGTATTCAGAGCCCAGACAGTTTTGTATTCATCTAAATAAATAAATAATAAAAAAACAGATTGCATAATGTTCCTCTAAGCAGAAACATTTTCTACTTATCTTTTTATTATTTTTAATCAGCTTGTTTCTGTACTTATTTGCATTTTCATTTGAGTCTTTTTTCTACTCCTCTTGGTCCAACCTGAGGCAAGTGACAGGTAAATTAATATTATACAGTATCCACGGTATTAAATCATGAGATAATCATCAACATTATTTTTAGGAAATGTATATATACTGTGTAAGACAGGAAAGGTGGATATCCCTTTCATAACATATTTTTGACCCCTCCCAATCTAGTAACTGAGAGTTGAATATTTTTGACATAAACATACTCCTGCTAAGAATGGTTAGAAACCAGCTGCTAGGATGTGCTGTGCTGCTCTTTAACAATGAATGTGTTATATTCTTGTGAGATTGTTTCTGAATAGTTTTATGCAAAGATAATAATGCAGCATTGGAAGGGTGGGAGCATTGTCTCTTGAGTTTTATCTCTCATTAGAATCAGAACTTTGAACTAAAATTCTAGTTCAAGTATCCAATCCAATGTTTTTAAGTGATTGTTCATGCAAATTATCATAGGATGTCTTCTTTCCTGAACATATTTTGACAACTCTTGCTTTTAACTTTAGCACTAAGAATTCTGTTGTTGGAATTACTTGCCCCTCTTAAAAACAAAGATAGCAGGACTAAAAAATGTGCCAGTTTTAGAAACTGCTAAGTTTTACATTTAGCACAATGAAAAGAATGATTTTAAGAGATGCTACGTGGGTGCTGGAATAATAAAAGTGTGCCTTTTTTACTCAAAAATGCTTCAGATTGTATTTTCTGTGTGCACATTTGGCCTATATATATATTGCTTTAATGTTTGAGAGATGGATTATTGACAGGATTGGGGAACATTGCTAGCCTTTGTAATGGTAACTTCTTACCTGTTTTTGAGGTCAGATCCCCAGCCTGCTCTACCTTTTGCACCACTTCTGCAGAACAAAGGAAGAACAAAGTCTGACTCTGGAGGAATCCTCCAGCAGAAAAAGAATCTCTGAGTGAGGTCCTGGACTAATAGTTTGATATCTTTCTTCACCCGTAGCAAAGGGCTATGGCTGTGCAACAAAGCCTGAGTGCTAAAATGGCTACTTCTACTTTTTTTAGCTCCTGTTTAAATTAAAGAATTTGTACTGGTGCAGTTTCATCAGTTTGGTTCATCAGCTTAATTCAAAATAGGGCTGCAAATGTAGGCATTAGAAATTGCAAATCAAGCCCGGGATTTAAATATCCCACGCTTGATTTGCATCTTCCCAGCCAGGCGCCATTTTTTGAAATTGACAGGACTGAACTAACTGCCCGCGTCTACACATGGCAGTGAAACGGCCGTTCAAAATAAAGCCCTATTTTGAACTACCTGTTATTCCTCCTGCAATGAGGTTTAACAGTTGGTTCGAAATAGGGCTTTATTTCGAACGGCCGTTTCACTGCCGCGTATAGATGCAAGCAGTTAGTCCGGTCTTGTCAATTTTAAAAAAAATGGTGCCTGGCTGGGAAGATGCAAATCAAGCACGGGATATTTAAATCCCGGGCTTGATTTGCAATTCCGAATGCCTACATTTGCAGCCCTATTCCGAAATAGGCTGCAAGTGTAGACATACCCTCAGTAATATTTCCAAGTAAGCATCCCCAAGGTAAGCCTTGTTCTGCACTGATACATTTGAGTTTGGCCCCAGATTAACTTAATTGTTAGATTTCATCCACTGTGAATCGCATTCATTCAGACAGGGCCTTAAGTATGATAGAATCTAATCTAGGCCAGATTTGGGAACTGTAAGGTCCTTATCCTACAAAGTGCTTGGCAGCCTACATTTTCTCATTTCACTGAAGTAGTTCTTGCAAACGCTACATGCACACAGCAAACAGCTGATTCTGTTTGTTTTTGCTGTGCACTACTTGCCTCTTTGTGCTTTTTTATATTTAGTGGGTCATACAGAGTCACGTTTTCTGTTTCTGACCTGTTTGAGAGAAAGGGATAAATACCGACTCTTATACCTTTTTATTATTCCAGAGACCTGAAACTGGACAATATTCTTCTGGATGCAGAGGGTCATTGCAAGCTGGCAGATTTTGGAATGTGTAAAGAAGGAATTCTGAATGGAGTAACAACCACTACATTTTGTGGAACACCAGACTACATAGCTCCAGAGGTACTTTTTATACCAACCTTCACATATAATAATATTAGTAATCATAATTAACTGTGGCACACATGGATAGCTGTATCTCTTGTATGTGCACTGTGGAAAATGTGGGCCTTATTCTGTCATCAGCACTACTTGAAAGATCCTGTTGAAACCTGTGGATCTCCACAAGGAACAAACATCTACTCAGCAACAGTAGCTGGCAAAATCTGACCCTGGAGGGTGGAACGATATCTGTGACTCTGTACTTAATAACCATTGCAACACTGGTTTTAAAAGTTTTCTATAATATATTTGATGGCATTCTCTGCATTTCCTGGTCATCCGTTACGTGTCATTCTTTTGTAAGTGATTATGTTTTCCCACTGGATGTTTGCCCAGTTCATGCTACCTTTCCTTTAAATTGAGTAGCCACTCCATATGTCAAAACACCCATTTCATACATTCCTTATGGGCTGCAGCTGCCGGAAGACAGGAGCAGTTAAACATGCTCAACTTCTGCTGTTTTGTTTTGTTCCGTACTAGAAGGTGAAGACAAAAATGTCAAATTGAAGCTAAAATATCTATTTGTTATTGCATGAAGTTGTCATTTAACACTTTTCCCTAACATGTGTTGCTTGCATATAGCATTATTTTTCCCCGTGTCTGCATTTACAACCCTATTGCTGCTCTGAAGGTGCTTCTAAATCAGTAGATATGGCTCTGTGGATGTGGGGAACGCAGTGGATGTGATATACCTTGACTTTAGCAAAGCTTTTGATACGGTCTCCCACAGTATTCTTCCCAGCAAGTTAAAGAACTATGGATTGGATAAATGGACTGTAAGGTGGATAGAAAGCTGGCTAGCTCATCGGGCTCAATGGGTAGTGATCAACGGATCAATATCTGGTTAGTGGTCAGTATCAAACGGAGTGCCCCAAGGGTCAGTTCTGGGGCCAGTTTTGTTCAGCATCTTTATCAATGACCTGGATGTGGGGATGGATTGCACCCTTAGCAAATTCACAGATGACACTAAGCTAGGGGGAAAGGTAGATATGCTAGAGGGGTAGAAATAGGGTCCAGAATGACCTAGACAAATTGGAGGATTGGGCCAAAATAAATCTGATGAGGTTCAACAAGGACAAGTGCAGAGTCCTGCACTTGGGGCAGAAAAATCTGCAGGCTGCGGTCTTATTGGCTCAGCAGCAGTTCAGCAGAAAAGGACCTGGGGATTACAGTGGATATGAGTCAACAGTGTGCCCTTGTAGCCATGAAGGCTAATGGCACATTTGGGTGCATTAGTAGGAGAATTGCTAGCAGATCTAGGGAAGTGATTATTCCCCTTTATTCAGCACTGGTGAGGAATATTGCGTACAATTTGTGTCCACCCCCATTACAGAAAGGATGTGGATACATTGGAGAAAATCCAGAAGAAGGCAACAGAAAAGATTAGGGGGCTGGAGCACATGACTTCTGAGAAGAGTCTGAGGGATTTGGGTTTATTTAATCTACAGAAGAGAAGAGTGAGAGGGGATTTGATTGCAGCCTTCAACAACCTGAAGGGGGGTTGCAAAAAAGAGGACAGAGAGAAGCGGTTCTCAGTGATGACAAATGACAGAACAAGGAGCAATGATCTCAAGTTGCAGTGGCGATAGTCTAGATTGGAAATTAGAAAAAGCTGTTTCCCTAGGAGAGTGGGGAAGCACTAGAATGGGTTACCTAGGGAGGTGGTGGAATCTCTGTCCATAGAGGTTTTAAAGTCATGGCTTGACAAAGCCCTGGCTGGGATGATTTAGTTAGGATTGGTCCCACTTTTAGCAGGGGATTGGACTTGACCTCCTGAGGTCTCTTCCAACTCTATGAGTCTAGTGATTCTCAAACTTTTTGGTCTGCAGCCCACCCTGCTCAATGCACATCTTTCTGTGGAGCACCAGCTAATCAACCATGATGACAAAATGGATGGAGGCGGGGGTGAGAGTGCGGAGTCTGATCAGGAGGTAAAGTGCAGGAGTGGGCTGAGCATGAGGAGGATGGGACCACACTTTGAGAAACACTGGAAACAGCACAGAGAGCTACACAACTCTTTTGCTCATGAACATGCTTGGGGAGACCAATAAACTTGGCTAATACTGAGATTGCTACTGCGGGCTAGTTTTCAGTGCAACACACTGAAACTTAGCCATATGAGTCATATTAATAGGAGTTGCACAGGTAACAGCACAAACCTACTGACACTGAAGTAACCAGGATTCGGCCTCCTTGAAATACTGTAGTAGGAGAAGTATCTCATGTCTGATCAATCAACGTGCATCTGAAGATATCACTCTAGTTGCTTATTAACTCTGAACTCTGTTTCCCTGACAGATCCTCCAAGAGTTAGAATATGGTCCCTCAGTAGACTGGTGGGCTTTGGGTGTTCTGATGTATGAAATGATGGCTGGGCAACCTCCTTTTGAAGCTGACAATGAAGATGATCTCTTTGAATCCATCCTTCATGATGATGTGCTCTACCCAGTCTGGCTCAGCAAAGAAGCTGTCAGCATTTTAAAAGCAGTGAGTCTTCCATTTCTTTTTCTCATTCTTCCTTTTCTGCTTTTTATTTCCCTGTTAAAAAATCGAATTTACCTTCAGTCTTTCAGAACAGTCACCACTGGGAGTTCAACAACAGTTCAGAGTGCCACTATTGCAATAATGAGCCTGGGATAAATTACACTTTCTGCGGGAAGGGAACACAGTGTTGTTTGTGTTCCTTGAAGTTGTATGCTGTATAAATCTAGGCACTGCAGAATCATGCTTCAGAGAAAATCACCATCAGTTAGCACTGTGTTATCATTCTAATACTTCACACTCTGCATGCTCACTAAGAGAGGTAGAAGCACTGTGTAATTAAAGAAACAGTGTCAATGTTTTTATTTCAATCCACATATAAACTTTGGCACCCCTCTGCCTTTTTAACAAGTTGTAAAAATATTTTAAAGCTCGTTATTTTTTCCTTACTGTGATCCCTTGCTAATGTCTTTTTGACTCTAGTTTGAGAAAACTTAAAAAATAACGAATATTCTAGCAGCACCATAAAGACTAACAAAACATGCAGATGGTATCATGAGCTTTCGTGGGTACAACCCACTTCATCTGAAGAAGTGGGTTGTACCCACGAAAGCTCATGATACCATCTGCATGTTTTGTTAGTCTTTATGGTGCTGCTAGAATATTCGTTATTTTTTAAGTTTTCTCAAACTAGAGTCAAAAAGACATTAGCAAGTTTGTAGTTTGTTATCATTAATGCCTTTGTAAACTCTACAAAGAGAATTACAACAATACATCATTTCTTACATTTTCCAAAGATAATATTCCCAGGTGGGCCAGATCTTTAGCTGAAGTAAATCAGTTGAAGTCACTGGAGCTGTGTCAATATACACCAGTTCAGTATCTGGCCCCTTACATTTAGCAACCTGTTGTGTCTAGGTACTGATTTTCTGAATGTTAGAAACTCCTGATCTTTGTTTCATACTTTAGCCACATTGTCAGATGAAGAACAGGAAAAACAGAGGAAATAGAGAGGCGTCTATGTATTTTACTGCTGAATACTAACAAGGGATTAGCTTTGGAACACTTTATTTCCTCACATTGTAGTCTCAGACATGGTTTTTTACAAACTACATTTTCACAGTCCTTCAAACAGTGTTTGGAGAAAGTTTAACAAAATGACAATTTACCTCAAATATAATTTTCAGTTCAGTGTTTTAAATGTTTAATTCTTTTGCATCACTCTTCCATTTTTAATTCCCACAAAAAATGGAAGGACAATTTTCCAGGTAATCATAAGTGACAGTGTGTTACTTATCTTATGAGAACAGATCTTTTTAAATTGGTGTGACAGGTTGGGTCGCAAAGATTCCCTTGAGATTGTCACTTAATGTGCTGAAATACCACTGAGCCTGCCTTCCTGCTTCTGGGGCACCTTGTCTTGCTTAGTCAGACTCTCCAATCTCCTCCAAGGATAGCACAGAGTTGGGGTCCCAACCAGAGCCGGACTGAGCCATGGGCACCAACTGATGTGGGGTGCCTGATGGCAGCTGTAAGGGGTGCACGGCATCCGTTATAGCTACTATCAGGCGCTGCGTGCCCGGCTCTCGCAGCGCCGGCCCCGTGGCGCCGGCCAGCAACGCCCTTCCCCTCACGGCCGTGAGGCCCTGCACGGCTCGGCATGTGCGCCAGCAGCGCTGGCCAGGCTGGGCAGCGCATGCACTGGGCACTCCGGGGGCGGGCCCTGGGCTGTGCGCCAGTGGCTGTGGCCGGCATGCGCCGTGCGTCCAGGGACAGTGCCGCGCGCCCGGGCCAGGGCGCCAAAAGGGTTCGGGCCGGCCCTGGTCCCAAACCACAGCAGAGTAATATAGACATTGAATCAGCTCAGCTTTGGGAACACTCAGTCATAGAATCATAGAGTTAGAAGAGGCCTCAGGAAGTCATCAAATCCAACTCCCTGGGCCAATCCCAATGAAACCATCCCAGCCATGTAAAGTTCCCTCTAAGATCTATGGCAGCACAACTGCTTAATCCGCCCAGTCAGGGGCTCAGGGCTCTGTGCATGGAGCTGCCTGACTGGGTGTGCCTAGTTAAGCAGCTGCAGGACTGTGCTGCTGTGCAACTTATAGGGAAACTTGCAGCCAGGGCTATGTCAAGCCGGGAATTAAAAACCTGTAGGGACTGAGATGCCACCCCCTCCCTTGGCCACCCATTCCAGTGCTTCACCCCTCTGTTTGTGAAATAGCATTTTTTAACATCCAACCTAGAGCTCCCCCACTGCAATTTGAGACCATTGCTCCTTGTTCTGTCATCTGTCACCACTGAGAACAACCTCTCTCCATCCTCTCTGGAGCCCCCTCACCCCTCAGGTAGCCAAAGACTGCTATCAAATCACATTCAACAAACTATAACTTTTCTAATAATATGCTACAAGATGAATTTTGCACAAAACATCTTCCAGTTATGCATATTTATATTCATAAACATATTCCCATAAAGAATATTAAGCACCATATCATAGCCCGTTTCTGTGACTGTACAGGTGATGCTATTTAATACTCCCCTCTGTCATGTGAGAGAAAAAAATATTAATTGAAATGAGAGTATTTACTGCTGATAGTGCTGGAATTCATGACTGATTATGTTGGAAAGCCAATCTGCCTAGCACTTTGTCTGCAAGAGAGAGAGAGAGAGAAAAGTGTCTACGTAGTCTGCTGCCAGTGTATATTTTGCATTCTCCTCTGTACCTGATCCACAGAGGATACAGGTCTGCTCTAGCTCTTAGTCTTAGAATTTGGTGTTTTATCTTAGGCTGTCCTTGGTCCAATCCACAGTATACCGCCATCACATAAATGGAAGCTTATCTGGGGTTTGAGCTGCTTCTAACATTTGGGATGAGTTTCCCTTGGTTTCCACTGTCTTTAGGTCAGTGTGTTACAAAGCCACTTCTCTGTCTGACCCATAGAGGATGTGAGACTGTTTCAGTCCCCTGCTGCTACTGATTCTGTCTGTCTGTTTCATTCAATTGTAGAAATTTGCGTTGAGCTCTAGAGATCTTTAGTTTCAATTCTTTCTTGTGTAGTGACCTGACATATTGGCCAACCTTAGAAATTAAACTGGGGACCTTCAGCACTAAATTACCCAATGTCATTAATGACATGGTCAACACTATAGTATTTGAGCTTCTTCTACTCATGCATTAAGCAGTGTGACTAATGTCTATTTCATATTGTTTGTTTACTCATCCTCTCCACAGAGAAGGAAGTATGGAGTATCTTTGTTGAGTTCGTTTTGTGTTTTTTTAATATAAATTTTTAAAAATATACATATTGCCAACTCAAGAAATGTACCTTCCACTCAGAGCAGAAGGTGATGGGGGCTTGATGGTCCTTAATTCCTGGAGGATTTTATCCCAAAGACTCAGATTGACCCCAAGACACTTCTGTCTCCCACACTGATGAACTTTGCCCTTGTAGCAAACTCCCTTGTGCCAGTGGAGCAAAGTTGCCAACCACCATTTTCATCCTAGAGTTTTAAGTAGTCTTTTAGATGTGCTGGGCCCAGGCCATTGAGTGCCTTGAACATAAGGACCAAGACGTTGAACTTGATTCAATATTTTGTTGGAGGTCAGTATAGAGAACAAAGGACAGACTCAATCTGTTTGTAGTCAGAGAACATGTGCTGTAGTGTTCTGATTTTATACTTCTGGGAGTTTCCTAAGTGCTGAAATCTTCATGTCCAGGTATGTGATATTACTGTAGTCCTTTTGAGAAGATGCATTGAAAGGTATGAATAAGTGAGGCCAGATCATCATCCACCACAATGGGATGGAATCTCCTAGCCAACCAGAGATAATATAGAAAGCATTACTCCTGGATGCAGCTACGTGGGAGCTCAGCACCTACAAGGAGTCCAAGAATGCATCTGCACAATGGACTGAATTGGCCAGATATGGTGTGTTCTTTTAACCAAACACTGCAATGGTAGCTCTGAACTCTTCAAAGTGTTTCCCTCTGCTGACCAGTGTCAATTATGTCTTGCTGCTATTCAGCATTAGCCCATCCAAACACTGGGCCATCGTGGAGCTAGGCATAGCAGTGTGATTAGATGGGTTGAAGAATAGGGAGAACTGTGTGGCATTTGCATATTGCTGGCACTAGAGTCAATGTCATCTGGCCAGTTCACCCATTAGTTGCATGTAGCCACTGAAAAAGACCAGAGGGAATTGATCCTTGTAGGACTACACGGCTCAGTGCTAGTGGTGAAAGTACAGTTACCCAGTACTATTCACTGGGTGCATTGCCTCTAGGAGAAACTCAGACCATATTCATGCATTGCCCTGAACCCCTGCGCCCACCACCCTCAAGTGAGACAGCAATATTTCTTGATCAGCAATGAGGGCCATGGGCATAAGAATGGATGTCTGTCCTCTAGCCTTTAATAGGAGGAAGTCACATACCAATGCAAGTTGCATAGACTATTTTATTAGTCAATAAGGGCACCTCTGCCTTTGAAGTGTAGCAACAGCCCTGCACTGCAGGGAGCATGGAACCAGCAGGGGATTCTCCACGGTGTTTCAAAGCGGCAGCATCACATGGAGCCCCCAACACAGTACTGCCACTTTGAAATGCCGCGTGCAGCCCAGGGCCAACTGGGGACTCGCAGCTGGCCCTGGGCTACACATGGCTGTGGTGGGGCGCTCCCTCCTGCCCTCACTGGCGGACAGGGATGGGTCCCGACTCCACGAACCCAGGTACTGTCTACCCCTCTAGAACCTGGTTCACTGGCCTAAGTCAATACGTATAATCTCTAGATAGCCCTTTAAGGCAAGGCCCTCCGGCATGAGTCCATATACACAGTTCAAGGTATGGTCCTTTAAGGCAAGTCCCTCACTGGCAGGTCAGGGTTGTAGCAGGGTTGTACCCCTGGTAGGGGCACCAGGGCCTACCCTACTCCACTGGGTCCTGGCCCAGGGCCATCTGAGTAGCAGGACGGCGTGTCACTCCCTCGGCGGGGAAGTCCTGCCG